GGAAGAGACTTAGAGAGAATCTAGGCCTAACCTTTTCTTTTTATCAGGTGGAACTCAGAGAGATGACTGTAACTTAGTCAGAGTCTCTTTCATTCAGACTATTACCAGTGGGGCAGAGGTGGTCAGGCAGGTGCACTGGTACTACTCACTTCTATCAGACATGGCCTAAGAGCTAAAACAGTGGGCTAGGGGAGTGGCAGAGACTTGTAGAAACAGCTCTCATACTTGACCCTAGAACTACCATTCCTAGTAGGCACTTAGGAATAGTATCCAAGACAGCGACACTCTTATATCTTGCTTCAAAGAGGTGGCAGCAAGTATTACTACAACTACAGGTCAACACATAACTTTAACAACTTACTCCTCAACGTCCTCTCATGATTCAAAGGGACACAGGGTGACACTGTGATTAACTTTCATCTAGCAATTCCTCTTTAGGAATCTAGCCTACAGAAATAATAGCACAAATATTTTAACATATATGTATAACAGTGTTTAGTAAATCATTGCTTATAGCAGCACCAAACCATACCACCAATTTGAAAACACCCATATGTCATCAATATAGTACTGGTTGATAAAACTTTGATACATCTGCTATGGCATGTTGTGCAGAAGGTTAAAAACAGGTCTATATTTGTTAGTCTAAGTAGTTAAATCTATAGAGTGACATACATAACAAGATCTCATTGTTGTAAAAGCAAAACAATCTTAAAACATTTATACATGTACATACATTTATTTATAGAAATCAATAAAATAAAAACTGTTAATATTTGCCACCCACGGTGAGTGGCTGTAGAGGCTATCATTTAATTTTTTTTCAACCATCTTTATATTTTGTTTTTGGTGCTAATTCCTATGCCTATTTTCTTCACTTGTGAACCAGAGATAATAATGAGTATCTCACATAATTGTTGCTGGAATAAAATGAAATAACACATATGTAATGTCTGGCACTTAGTAGGCACAATATATTGTACCATTATTATATTTTGCTTTCACACCAACAGCTTTCTTTTGTCCATCTATAATGTTTTATAGAAAACAGTACTGTCTTTAAAAACATCATTTAATACCCCCATATTCAAAATGTACAGAAAAATAAAAGCTACCTTACCAAGTGAAATTAACACTCAAATTTTAATAGTGCTACCTTGCCAATATTTTAATAAGAACTAAGGAAAAGTAATTAAAATTAAATAAAAGTATCTAATGAGCACTGTATAGCTAGGAGCAAGTTCCTTAACTTCTTTAACCATAAATGACCTTTGTAAGACGATGATAAAAAATATTTGTTCTTCTTATCTCCCAAGGGTCTGAAGTGAAAGACAATGTTTGTGGAAATGCTTTATTGTAAGTACTATACAGATGAAGAATTATTTTTAAAAACTAGGATTGTACCTATTTATAAGCAAGAAGTTTATGATTATTTAAGAGTAAATGAGGAATACTCCAGTGATTTACAAAGCAAAGAGTTGTTAAAGGAAACTGTGATATTGGACCATCAGAACTAGATTCCTACCCTGGTTCTGACACTGTTCTGTTGGTTACTTGATACCTTTGAACCAGTTTCTTTATAAGAACCAGTATGGTAATACCTATGGTAGTGTTTTGCAACCCTATCACCCCTAATAACCCCAAAATAGTTTGAGACATTTCATACCTATCTGGAAACGAAACTCTTAGACAACTAGCTATAACCAAGTATCTATGCTCCTTTTCTTCTTTTTAGTAATAGAATCTGCCCCCAAGGCTGCCCTGGTAGAAACTGTATTTCCTACTTCCCCTTGCCACTGAGTGTGGCTATTCATGTTTTCTTTCTCAGCTAATTGTTTGCAATCTTTTTCTCTTTTATTTTTTCCATGGGCAAGAATGTGGATGTGATAGAGTCATCAACTTTTGACCATATAGATCAGGGCCACACATTAGGAGCTGGCATAACAATAAGACAGAAGGAACCTGGGAGTCTGGATGATCTTGTGGGGCAAGGTCTTCTTCTAACCTGGACAAATGGCACACTTTTGCTAAGACGTACAATAAAGAGATAAAATTTTATCTTGTGTGACTCGTTGTAATTTGAGGTCTTATTACAGCATTATAGCCCATACCGTAATTAATACATCTAACTACATGAATAATTTCAAAACAATTATAACTATAATATAAAAGAGAAATAAAAGAAAATATATTTATAATAAAATAAAATGTATTTTTACAACTACATTTGAAAACATAATCAATAAGATAAATTCTAGTAGTCCCTATCATAAATAAGTTTGGATTTAAGTGAAATAGTATGTCCAAAGTCTCTGAGTACAGGCTCTATAGGAAAATATGCCAGCAGAAATCGTAGTAAACACAAGAATAAAAAACCACTCTCAGGTTAAGTAATAGCAGAGCAGAACTTTTTACATGATAGGAAAGAAACTAATCTTAATTGAAATAGAAATAATAATGCAAAATAAATTACAGATTGTCCAAGTATAAAATATGAGAAGTATGATATTTTCCCAAATGAGCTCAGCAAAAATAATTTCATATGGGGAAAATAACTCTCTGTGTTATGACATGGGATGACCTAGTAACAAAATATCACAGAAAATATATCTCCTTTCTTGAAACCACACAACATATCAGGGCACACATTGTCTCTTGTATTTGGAAAACATTCGACTATAACTTTCAATAGGTAAGGAAGACTATCTTGATGATAAATTGGAAAAAGAAAATATTTCTATGCATTATGTTTTAATAATTTGATGATAGGCCTTTGGGAACAATTTTAGAGATTGAAAAACAATAGACTATCCCAAAATAATCTCAATATATAATTTTTATTTCATAGATTTCTTATCATTATGCTAAAATAGTTACAAATATATAAAGGCTGGCATCACTATGAAATTTGTAAACATTTATTTTTAAAAATTCAGTGAAATCAATACCTATCATGTATGTCTATTAATTTAGCAATACTTGCTTTTAAGACTATTAAAAAGCATCTCAAATTTCCTGTTACATATTTATAACTATTTTCCATGGTTTCTCAGTAACTTTTGCCTTTTATAGTTAAATATATAGTTGAAAATGTTACAATATATTGAGTATACATTAAGTAAATTATTGGATAATTTTATGAACAATCTGTCTATTCCATGTCAACTTTCCTGTCCGTAAGAAGCCTTCTAAATTCCTGTCTTTTAGCCTAACATGTTATGATTCAGTATTAGTTTGTATGAAATCAATATCAAATTATACTTTGTAGTTTATTGAGAATAGCAGAATATTCAAAATTCATTCCAAATGTGGGAAAGTTGTGTTAAACAGCCCTATTCCAAGTATTTCAGGATATCTAGTATCCCTAGCTCTTGCCCAATAAAATGGCTTATATTCTCCAAAATTTCTATAACCTAAAGCACTTCCAAAAATTTCCAAAGTGTCCCATAGGGCAGTATCTCTCAAATTATCTGTGATAAAGGACCATTTTTTTCCCTCTAGTCTGTCTGAGATCAATGCTTTTATAAAATGAAATAAAAATGAGTTAGAAAAAAATGAAATGAAAAACAAAGACATAAACAATACAAACTCCATTTTATTATTACTAGATTCAACAGACAAAAATCACTCTGTCAAACTACCATACAACTTCCTAAATGATTACTCTCACTTTCTGTACATATCTTACTACAGACCAACAAAAAGTTTACAGGCCATCTTTGGCTCATGGAGGGCACTTTGAATGGCACTTTCCTAGGGAAAGTATTGCTTTCATTGAGAACAACTGGCAAAAATAAAGCAATATACAGAAATGTTAGTTATCATCTTTCTAATGTTTGACTCTAAATATCCTTTAGCAGAGACTCAAATAAACAATTCCATCCACATTTACAATGCTGCACTTCCTCGCTTATTCCTGTCCAAATCTCTAGACATACACACAAGTCTTATTTCCTTTCTTTTATAAAGGGCAACCTTGTATTCTCTGATACTGAATTCTTCTCTGCAAAGGAGCATCAGCATTATTTAGCTAGTAAAATGTCCAGATTCCTCTTACAAGCCAAAAATAAAAAGAATAAAATAAAATACGATTTTAAAAGGACTCATAAAATATATATATTCAGAATACAAAAAGGATACTCATTCCATTGCCTAATTATTATCGGTTCATGCCCAATATTCTTTTCTGTTCCTCCAGGTTACACTTGACTTTCCATGGGTCTGCCTTGCCCCAACTCCACCACTCAACACAGGAAATCCCCACCATAAGCTTTCCTTTCCATTGTAATTCCTTTTCTTGTGACACTAATACATTATATATCTAGAAGAATTTGTTTAAAGCCCCGACTCTCTCTTTTTTTAGTGGTAAGAACATCATCACTTGAGGAGAAAGAATGTCAAGGTTCATCCTATCCCAACGATATTTTTCACCAGTAAGTAGAGTTAAACAACTCTCTACATTTAATATTCAGAATAATGTGTTAAATTTTAATAATTCTTTAAAAATTCTTAAAAACTTTATAAGTTTTCATAAAAAAATTCCAGGTTCAGAAAATTCATTATAATGACTGATCTTATTCCCTATTTAAGGTAAAGTTTATATTAAGATGTGAACTTTAATTATTTAAATGTTCCAGAGTTGTTTCCACACATTATAATAACATGATATATGTATAAAAAATTTAGTATATGAGAATATTATGCAAAATATAATTTAATAGAAGCAATTTTTTACTTATTCACTTATAATTTTCTATTATTCTAATTTCTGATAATTATATAACAATAATGTAAGTAACATCAATATTAATTTTCTAGTGTAAAACTAAGAAAGGAAACATATAGTCAACTAACATTTAGGAGAAAAATGAATTATATGTCACTTTCCTTTTAAATAATTTAATTTACTTTTAAAAACAGTATTAAACATATGGAATTTCATTGTGTATTTTTTATATTTTGTAAGTTTATATATTTTATATAATAAAACATGATCTTACCCTTTTCTTGGCAACCACTGCAACTTTGGCATCTGATTTGGATTTATCTATAAGATAATAAAATGTGGCTGCTTTAAAAAAGTGCCCATATTCTTGTTCAAATAAAGAGTTACACAATTAGAATTTTCTTCCTTCTCATACTATGGTAACAGTATTTTGTTGTAGTGGCCCTTTTAATTAAAATGCTAATAAACTGAGCTTCCCAGAGTTTAGTGGGTCAAAGTAATCCAAAAGTAATAATATCAGTATGTGTATACTTATTTGATAAACTTCCTCTCTCAAATTTGATTGGTTTGTTGGCTGTACTCCAGTTAGAATCTGGCATATCTGATTTCTAGATTGTGGTCAGTTTGTGTGCTCTGGAGTATGAAGAATCTACAATTAAACACCAGCTTTATATAAGCTACTATACTAAACAGTATAAGATATAAAACAATGTAAATGCTCTCAGACCCTCAGTTTCTTCATTGATAAATCAGGGCTAATAACTGTTACCTCACTGGTATATGGTGAGATTTAAACAATATAATCTATGCAATTAAAAGTCCTAAAATAATGTCTGGAGTGTAATAAATAACAAATGTTCACTTCCATTTTAGCTAATAAAGACATTACGGTGGTGTGTGTGTGTGTGTGTGTGTGTGTGTGTGTGTGTGTGTGAGAGAGATCTTAACTTTTGGAATACTAGGAAAGATAGTTTAGTGATAATATATTTCACTAATGTATTATCTTCAAGGTGATTCCATCATTCCTCTACCTAAATAATTATTTTAGTCTTTTTAACCTAGTTGAAAATAATTGATGAGTAATGATAAAATAGCAAAATGTTCCAAGATACAGGAAAAAATAAGATCATTAAAATCTCATAATGTTATTAGACTTAAAAAAGGTCCCAGTGGAACCTTATGTTAAGTTTTATTGTACCTAAAAAAAACCTAGTAAATTTTCTTTCTTCTTTTGAAAAACTCTAATAAGAATAAAAGTCATGATGAAATATCAATCCTTACAAATAGTTAAAACTGAACAAAAAATATATATAAAAACTAAAATTGGATTCAATGGACCTTGATTATATACAAAGTTAAGAAAAATAGAATGAAAATGTGTTATGCTTCTTTTCAAAATATATTATACCTCATTCTTATGTAAATTTTCCAATAGGGAGATGAACTGGGAACAGAAATATCTAAACTGTTGTTCAAGGCAGTTTTTAATGTTCAAAAGTTGTCGAATCATTTCCCAATAAAAGGAGAGTGTGTTGGGTTGTATCAACAGCCACGTTGATTTTCAAATGCCAAAGAGAAATTCTTATGTGATACTTTAAAACGTTATGATCATAAACATATGGAAAAATGCTCAACATCACTAACCATCGGAAAAAAAAAACAAACTAAAACCACAATGAGATACCATCTTACCCCAGTCAGAATGGCCATTTTAAAAAAGTCAAAAACAACAGATGTTGGAGAGGATGTGGAGAAAAGGGAGTGCTTACACACTGTTAATGGGAATGTAAATTAATACAACCTCTATGGAAAGCAGTGTGGTGATTTCACAAAGAGTTAAAAATAGATCTACCATTTGATCCAGCAATCCTACTATTGGATATCTACGCAAAGGAAAACAAATCACTATATAAAAAAGATACCTGTACCTGTGTATTTATTGCAGCACTATTCATAATAGCAAAGGCATATAATCAACACACATGTTCATCAATGGATGATTGGATAAAGAAAATGTAGTGTATATATATACTAGGGAATACTACTTAGCCAGAAAAAAGAATGAAATTATGTCTTTTTTTGCAGCCACATAGATGGATTTAGAGGCCATTATCCTAAATTAAATAATGTAGAAAAAGAAAATCAAATACTACAGGTTCTCCCTTATAAGTGGGAGCAAAACAATGGATACACATAGACTTACAGAGTTAAATAATAGACATTGGAGACACCAAAAGGTGGGAAGTTGGGAGGGGTGAAGGATCAAAAATCACCTTTTGAGTACAATGTATAGCACTCAATGATGGGCACACTAAAAGCCTAGACTTCACCACTGTGCAATATATCCATGGAAAAATTTTGTACTTATAAGTCTATAAAAATTAAAAAATTATGATCACTAGTGATTTTCCCATTAATAGCATCAGGTCCATGTTCAACTTCAGCAACATTAACCACTTTTTTAAAGCTGAATTTTCCCTAGCGAGAAAGATTTAATTTCCTTCCTTCCGAAATCTCTGCATGTAGAGACTCTCATAAAGAGTGAAAGCAGTTAACAGGAAATGTAGATTTTGATAATGAAAAGGGCCTTCACTCATCTTTTGAGTGGTATCCAAGTCATATTTTACAGTGCAAAAGAGGAGCTGCAGGTAGTAAATGAAAATGCTCTAAATGAATAGAAGTGGTTATGCCTCATGACCCAGAACAGATGTTAAAGATGTTTTATTTATAATCATATTAGAGAGAAATACAAATATTAACATAATTCAATGGTTTCTATTCTTTAAGTAATTTTTTTAAAGCTTGTCCATTCATGGCACCAGAAAAACTTCATCAGTTTGCACTTCTTTAAGTGTGACAGCTGAGAGTATTTCTTAAAAAGGCATAGGAGAGTTCAGTGTCTGGTCTGGAATGTATGGAGCTTAGAAATGGCTACTTGATTCCAACAAAATGCAAAAAGCTAAACAAACTGAAAAATCAACAACTCTTAGATCTTTCAGAAAAGTGATAACACAGAGTAAACCACTGCCCCCAAATTTGAGAAACAGACAGGCAAATACAGAGAATCACAACTCACTTGAGTAGAAACTCATGGGCAGAAACTTCCATGAGAACCAGTATAGGAGTAAAAAATCCTGAAATTTAATTGACAAATTGCTGGAGGCTCCGTGTGGACAAGCCTAAGAGACAAAACTCCAGGGGGGCCCCCATCATGGGGGGAGGGACAACACTTTTTTGAGTTTTACCTCCAGGAGTTTTACCAGGTTCTCACAGACAAGATTGGAGAAAAATCTCTCAGCCTTCCAACAGGGGAAGGGAAAAGTCACCATTTTGAAATAATATGCTAGGGCATTCTGTTCTTCTTAACAAGGTCTGCTAAAAGCATTTGTAGAGCTTGAGGGAAGGCCCACCAAACCCAGCCACACCCAGCCTCACTCCCCCACCTGCCCCTGCTGAGGTGGAAAATAAAGATACACCTGGAAGTTCCAGGACCCCACCCACCACCTGGGGTATTAGAGGTTCTTCTGAGGAACTAGAGCTGGTCAAAGGACAAAAAAACCCAACATTGCAGTTTGTGACTTCCAGCAAGTGCCACCTACTCAGTGAAAGAATTCCAGAAGTAGGAAGAATCAAAGTGAAAGGACACCCCCAAAAGGGAATGCCAGCTCTCTAGCAATGGATACCAACCACAATCAGAACATTGAAATGACAGATGAAGAATTTTGAACATGGAATTTAAAGAAGCTCACTGAAATGCAAGATAAAATGGAAACCCAACACAAAGAAACCACAAAAAGAATGCAGGAAATGAAGGGAAAATTCACTAAAGAAATTGAAATATTAAATAAAAATCAAACAAAACTTATGGCAATAAAAAATTAATCCAAAGAATTATAAAACACACTGGAAACCCTTAAGAATAGATTATATCAAGCAGAAGAAAGAATCTCAAAGCTCAAAGACAACACCTTTCAATTCAACAAGTCAATCACGGAGGGCAGAGAAATAAGAGAAAAGATCAAAGCATACAGGAAATATGGCATTATGTTAAGAGGCACAACATAATAATCATAGGCATCTATGTAGGTGAAGAAGAAAATACACAAGGGTTGGATAATTTATTTGAGGGAATAAGAGAGAAAAATTTCCTTGGCCTTGCTAGAAATCTAAATATCTAAGTACAAGAAGCTCAAAGGACCCATGGGAAATTCATTGCAAAGAGGAAAACATCAAGACACATAGTCATCAGACTGGCCAAAATAAACACGAAAGAGGCCCTCCTATGAGCTATAAGGCAAAAAAGCAGGTAACTTAAAAAGGAAAACCCATCAGACTAACTGCCAACTTCTCACTTGAGAACTTGTAAGCTAGAAGGGACTGAGGCCCCATTCTCAGTCTTCTCAAACAGAATAATGCCCATCCTAGAATTCTGAATCCTTTAAAACTAAGTTTCATATGTAGAAATAAAGTCTTTCTCAGACAAACACACACTGAGGAAATTTGTGAAAACAATACCTGCCCTGCAGGAAGTAATGCAGAACTGTGTTACAAACTGATCAACACAATAGACACAACAGACATAGCACTATAGACATAGCACTGTAATAGCTGGAGACTTCAACACCACACTGGCGAATAGGACAGATCATCCACACAGAAAAGAAACAAAGAAACAATGGACATAAACAGAACTCTAGAAAAAATGGGCCTGACAGACATTTACAGAACATTCTACCTACACCCACTGAAATATAATACCTAGGAATATATATAACTAATGACGTGAAAGACATCTATAGGGAGAGCTATGAAACACTGAGGAAGGAAATAGAGGAGGATGTAAACAGGTGGAAAACCATACCATGATCATGAACTGGCAGAATCAACATTGTTAAAATGTCTGTACTGCCCAAAGTTATCTACAGACTCAACGTAATCCCTATTAAAACACCACAATAATTTTCCAGAGATCTAGAAAAAAAATGCTATGCTTTGTATGGAACCAGAGAAGATCCCATGTAGCAAAAGCAATCTTAAGCAAAGAGAACAAATTGAGAAGCATCAATTTACCAGAAGTCAAGCTATACTACAAGGCTATAGTAACTAAAACAGCATGGTACTGGCATAAGAACAGAGACATAGACCAATGGAACAGAACTGAGAACTCAGATATAAAACCATCCTCATATAACATACATTGAGGAAAAGAATCCTTATTAAATAAATGGTGCTTGAAAAATTGGATAACCACATGTAAAAGCCTGAAACAGGATCCACACCTCTCATCTCTCACAAAAATCAACTCATAGTAGATAACAAAC